ACAAATCTTAACTTATTTTACATGATCATAAGGGTATGGTTGGTTTTAAATTGATTAGCGATATAAATCGAAGTCGTTGCATATATATTTCTTTTCTTCATATTTTTCCTGCGATTGCGCCAGAAAAGGAAAGCCCTTTTTTTAAACAACAAGCTTATTAAAATCCGTTAAGTTTTCTCTGAAACTTTTTTGGTCCTAAATATTTTTTTGTTCTAGCTTTGGCAGTTTTGCAGATATTTAATGGTTCCGGTACTCTTTGCGAAAAAAGCGGGGTTGCCGTAGCTCAGTAATTAGTTGAAACAAAATTTTCATATTATGAAACCTTAATTGCAATAAAAATCAACCTGGCATTCCATTTAAAAAAAATTAAGACGTGGAACTTAATAGCAGTTAATCTAACCTAACAACATTGCTCTTAGCATTTTTATATTCTACATGTTTAAAAACAAGCAAAAATTCCATTATTCCAGATTTAAGAGTTTTGGTTAGAGATATTTAAGGGTTTAAGTAGTTTTTTTTTTCGTGTTCTACAAAACAAAGTTAAAGTTTTTTGGTTATGTTATGTACGTTTAATAAATTTTTGTAAATTTATTAAAATAAACTCTTTTTAAATAATCTTAAAATTATTTTTTAAGGTCCCTTTTTAAGTGTTACAATAGTAAACAAGCAAAATAAATATTGCAGAAACTTGTTTCACCAAAAAACCGCAAAAAATGAACACTTTATACGTTCCATCAGAACTACGTTGTTTTCCGTCTTTCTATTATTCTCACCTAAACGGGACCGAGTTTTTATATTCGACTTAATCTTGTTTCAAGAAGGTCTGATCTGATAACGAGATGAACCCTTCTTAACTGACAAATTTGGGATCCTATCATCTGGGTCCAATAGAAACAAAAATCATATTTCTTCATCTGATTTCAACGCGCTAAAAGATGTTTCCATTATTCCGGTACATTAACTATTTTTCGTCATGTCCTGATGAGAACTTTTTTTCAGATATTTAACTTATTTTGTAGCATTAAAGATTTAAATTGAAATAATTGTTCTTGCCTCGATGAACGAAAGATACATTTGAGTTATTTTACAATTTCCTATTTTACCACTTTAAAATTTTCTAATAAATATAATTTTAGGTAAATTTATCTTTGATCTTTGGAATACATAAAGATTAAAATTAAACGGTAAGTTATAGCTATAATAATATTGTAGCCATCCATGTATTTTATTTAAAAAATTATTTCAGCGAGAATCGGATTGTATTAGATTAGATTAAATACTAAAAACTAATAAGCAATTACATATAAACTTGTAAAAGTAATAATAAAAGATACACTGACATAAATAGACAAGTTTATTTTTAAAAACACATTATTTTCCTCTGTTGGGGTTCTAAACGTTAAGCCAACTTGTAAATTATTGCTTAATTTGAAATTATTTCCTGGGCATACTATAACGATCCATTTCGTCGAAATAAACTATAAAGTATACGTGTACCCATTTGGAATGGTCATTTATATTACGCCATTAAAACTGGGGAATAAAACCGAAACAAGAACGAGAACAGAACTTAGTCTAGCCTTCGGATGCGCGAACTGTTGCTTTTTCCCACTTTATATGGTGTGTGTGAAGTTTTTTCAGTTTCTTTCCGAATGTTTAATTATGCATATGTGTTACATTATTTTTACGTAATTTTTTTGCCCAAATATAAGAACTTTCATGGCTTTTGTTGTTTTCTTCATATTTACTATTTTTAGTACTTCGTTCGTTAGTTTATTATTAAGTAACACGTACAGATAGCCGCAATGTTAAATACTCGATGATTTCTATTGAAAACCCATACCAGTGCCCTTAAGAAACGTATTAAACCATTGAAGAGGCGTAATTGCATTCGTAAAGATAAACGTTCAATCAGATCTCACTTCTTCATTCAAGGAAAAGTTAATAAAGCCTTAGGGCGAATTATGTATAGTGTATTAGTAAACTGATATGATGAACAAATTTTATGCGATTCGGGTGCATCTAAATACGTTGTATTCGAATTCGAATTAATATATTAATAATCACAGTATAATGAATGAAAAAGTAAAAGTTTGGGCAAAATTTCTTCCCATTTAACGTGTTCTAAAATAATGTTGTAAATTGTGAAACTTCCATTTCATGCAAAAAATAATTATTTCTTCTAAAGAATCTCAGAAAAATGAACAAAAAAGAAAAATTACAAAATAGAACTACAAAACTTTAATTTCGTTTGCCAAAGAAAATCGGGTTATATAAAATTACCTAAAAGTGAATTTTAAGTGGCACACTTTCGATATTAATTAAATTAATTTTTGTTATAATTATAATTTTTTAAATACCACAGGTATTGCTCATCAAATTTAAAAATGTTTAAACTATGCGTGATGAGTTTGCATTTTGTGGTTGTTATTTGTATTCTTTATTTTATTGTAAACTTAGTTGCTCTGCTGATACTTATTAATTGTTTATATTTCCGTTGTTTTTTGCTGCAGTAACTATATCAGGACGATTATTACTAATAATTAATAATAATTAAATCGAACAAAAAATCATTAAACAAGTTCCTGTACCTTTGAAAACCATTCTTTCATCCTAACAGTTCCTTTACATCCTTTGAACGGTTTTAAAAACTAACAATAAAGATCGAATAACAAGTTTATGGCGTCCTAAATTCTTAGGAAACGTACGTAACAATGTTATCTCGGAGCTGCACAAACTTCGAGTGTTATCCCTGGCTGAAACTTGATTCAGCTAAAGTTACGACAAAATTAAGATGGTGTTCGAAGAAAATCGAAACACACATGTGCACCGTAAATTGCTTGGAAAGATGGACTAAGCGTAAAGCAAAAACAATAATGCTGGAATAACATGCACCTTTCAGTAACTATAATACAACTAGACCCAATAGGTATAATAATCAGGTAAAAACGGCGTCCGAGGATATGCCGTATTATTGTAGTTGCTTAATACATGTATTAATATAATGTAATTATTAGCTAATTAATACGAACGACAATTACTTACACCCAAAGAACGTTTGTTCAATGGTCAATTTCTGTACACTAGAATAAAGCAAAACAGAAAAGTTAAAATGCCCCATATTTCAACCGCTATTCATCAAGTACTTGCAACAACATGCGTACTTCCATTTTTCATTCTACTTATTGAACGATATGCCTATAATTGAGTATTCAAAAAGCGTTTTAAATTTGCCTGAATATTGCTTTATTGCTCACTAATAATCGACAGTAATTTATTATTAAACTGCGATAGACTTGTTACTTTTGGTAAAATTTTATATACCTGTGCCAACGTGATAAAACTATTTCGGGTTCTTTGTGAATATGTTATTGTGAAATACAGATAAAAATTGAAAAGAATGTGGAATCTTAGTGAAGTGAAGAGATAATGTAAACTTTTGGTGATGGCGTCATATAAGGTGCAACTTAAAATTAGTGTACCAACGTTTTCAGCACTAATTCGGCATTAGTATGAACCTTGAACCAAGATACTTTCGAGAAAATCGTAATTCTTTCTACTTAAAAGGCGTAATTTTAGTCAATATATCTAAAGCCGTTTGTGAGATCTTTGATTCAATTGCACATGTTACCAGTGCACGTCAAACATGTATTTCACAAAGGGGGGGTTATACATGATTTAAAATTTAAAAAATATTGATATTTTTGGAGTGTTAAGTTTGATTTTTAACACTTGCAATTTTAATTTTAAAATTTTCATAACAATTTTTGACGATATTTTAACAATTCAAAACTTCCAATTACACGACACTAAACGAATTGTTTAAAATTTGTTTAATTAATTGCATTTAAATATACCTAGACCCATACACAGTATTTACCAAAATCAGAAATTACATACAAAAATAAATGTGGCTCTTAATATTTTTTTTCTCTTCTCTATTCTAAAACATCACAGATCAAGCTTACGCAAAGTGTCACTTTAAAGCTTCGTCAACCAATGTCGCGAGCCAGGTTCCTGGTACTTTCGTCATGGGTTTGGGAGCGATCGGATGTTTTTGAAAGTATTTGGGCGGTCTTGAAAAATGTACCGAATCAAACTTGTTACTAATGTGGCGTTTAATGAACTTGTTTGCATTACAATTTCTTAAGTGCAGCAATTAGGTATAATTTAGTTTTGTAATAAGTAAGAGTCCATTTTCATTTTCCTCCAAATGAATCAGTTCTAGTAATTCTTGATGTCCCACTTCATATAATGGTTGCCCCAATTAGCCTTGGATCCCTGATGCGGCTATAACGCAGATATAGCTTCAAGTAGTAACGTTTTCATAGATACTCGCCCACAGAAAATTTTATTCAATCATTATATCACTTACAAAAATACTTATTAACACGACTAGAGGCTATATATTGAAGAAGCGCATAAATAAATGAAAACTCATTTTGAAACATATAAATATGAATTGAATATGAAATATATAAATATAATAAACAGTTATCGTTATAATTATCGATAACTTTCGCATGATTTTTGATACAGGGTCCCGAGATAAAATGGCGGGTATAAATGACACCTATAAATTGGCAAGTAAATATGAGCAATGAGAAAGAGCAGTTGCGTAATTACGAATATATATGCAAATACATTCTTGGAAAACATATGCAAGTTGGAAAATAAAATACTTATACAGATATATAAAAATTAAAATATATATATAAATTGTATTCAAACTAATGCTAATCTGTTACAAATTTTTACTGCATATAATGAAAATTACAGTACAGTATTGTCCAGTTAAATATTTTAATAACATACTAAATTGAATAACGTCCACCCAAATTTACAAACAGCAATGTGTATTATTAGTGCAAAATCTCTATTCACACAATCAAGTTGGCACTAGAATTTTGCAATATTTACCAATTTTACTTCTTATTTTCACCAGTTTAAATCAAACAATGTTGTACTTTCAATTAAACTTTGGTTTCCAATTTACTTACCTCGACAAGTTACTACGATAAGAAGAAAAAGAAGAATATCCCGTTGCCCAACTTTAAACACAAAGAGGATAGTTTATTACACCTAAACATATTCACTCGAAAATTAAATACCACGTAAATAAGAGAAAACCTCATCTCATCTGCAAATGGGCCCGCATTGCAAGACCTCCAACTTTCGTCGTCCGTGTCGCGTGTTAAGCACGAACTCAACGAATCATCGGGACGTCCGAGATCCGGAAGATGCTTTCGTAAATATCGCCGTGTCGCAACTGGATTCCGGGGTGGAAAATAGGACCTCGGTGGAACAAACTGCCAAAACTCGGCGCATCGTGCACATGCGTGATTTATAAGCAAAGTTTTTCTCTTCAATCTGTACTATGTACTATATACATATAGGATAAAAATGGATTATCTCAAACCGGCCTAGAAGGCCACAAAAAATTTTCGACCAGAGAATTGAACTGAAATTTACATATCGTTTTCACCGGCAGAGCATTAACGAGGAAAATTGACACCACAGTGTCAGATCCATGTTTATGTTAATTAATATTATAATGGAACGGTCGTGGTCATTTTTTTGTTAACTTCTTCTCTTCGCATACACCCAAGTCCAAAGGAAACGCGTGAAGTGGCAACCTACATAAAATGGTTTGGTTTTTATGGTTATGCCGATAGAACAGATTTTCCATGATTTTGTTCAACCAATCAGGTTGTCTGCTTGGAATTATCAAAACTTCCATTTTATGTTGTGCGACATCACGATAAATCCAGTTTACCTATGAAAACTGAGGTGAGGATAAGCGTAACTGGTTATTACATAAAAACCATTTTAAATAACTGTTTAATTAGTATTGTTAATGCAACCAAAAGAAAACAATCAATCTTGGTTAGTTTTGGTTAGTGTTCAAAATGTGAAATGTCAAAAACCACAAAATATCTACATGTATGTAAGTATGTAATTAAGCAACTGGTAATCTGGGCGTTTAGAATATAATGGGTATATCGGCACCGAAATATTAAGGCCATGTCGGATCTGTTGTATATAATATTTTCTCATACTAATAATTTTTTCGACTGTCTTTAGGTTTAAAGTTTTTTTTTACAAACCCCTCAAACGTGTATTTGCTTATGTTTACCGGAAGTAGCACATATCTTCGGAAAATATTCATCTTGCCAATTGCACAACTCACTCTCACAGTACACATGAAAAAAAGTTCCTCGAAAATATTGAACTGAAATCACAAAAAATTGTTGCGCACGAAGCGCCTCACAGATAACGTCGAACAAGTCATCCATTTGAGAAAAAAATATTTATTTTTAATAATCACTATTTTCTATTATTAACATTTGTTTACAATAAATAAATAATTTCGTTTGTTCCAAAATTTTGTACAAATTTAACGTAACCAAACGAAAACTATTTTGTTAATTGTTTCTAATTAACAATTAGCTAGCATATAAATATCGTTATCAGATTCTTATATAATCCAAATAATATATGTATCACAAATGACGCCAATCCTCAGTCAAAACTAAACCCATTGTTTATGATCAGGATTATTCTAGATTATTAAATCTAAATCTCTCCCGTAACCCATATTGATATGGGTTTTGTGGAAACTATTGGTTTATTATGCGTAGCAGTACGATGCAACTATAGTTTAAATTATCATTTTACTGCAAGTTCTCTTAATAAATTTTGTTCGAGTTTTTTATTACTTTGAGTAATAAAAAGAGCATACAGTACAATTTTCTCATGAACGAACATTAAAGGTCTATACATAGTCTTTGGAATTTGCCGTTATTTAATTAGATAATCACACTGATGAAATTTTAAAACTCACAAATGTCTCTGCATAATAAATATTTATCGTTATAATCATCGATAACCTTTGCATGATTTTTGATACAGGATCCCGAGTTAAAATGGCGGGTATAAATGACGTCTATCAATTGGCAAGTAAATATGAGCAATGAGAAAGCGTAGTTGCGTAATTACGAATACATATGCAAATACATTCTTGGAAAACATATGCAAGTTGGAAAATAAAATACTTATACAATTATATAAAAGATAAAAATTAAAAAATATATATAAATTGTATTCAAACTAATGCTAATCTGTTACAAATTTTTACTACAGGTGCGCTATAATTCGAAAAAATAGAGTTCTTCAGATTAGCATAATTTATAAAAAAATGAATTAGCCAATCAAATATTTACAGCTGCAAATGCATTGTCATAATCACATGGTGTTCAAAACAAATTCAAAATAGAATATAATGCAACAAGTGTGATAAACGACACTTTAGTCACGAGTTTGTTTTGGCACGAGAGGGTAGTTTTGTACTATCTTTAGGTTTTGCATGCATATTTTCTAAACAGCACGAATACATGCACTAAGTGACATGTGTTGTAACCTTCAGAATGAACAAACGACAAAATACCATCAGTGTTTAAAATTTAAGTTAAAGTTAAGTTTAAGTTAAAAAATCTGACTTCTGAAAGTAACACTATGCGTGGGCCTGATCAGGGCATAATTATATAATAATTTAAATAATATTTTAGAGTAGGGAGTAGAAACACATTTATTAAGGGTTCGTAGAAAATTACTTTCAAAATTACAAATTAGCAATGAAATTTCTATGCATATATTTATAAAACTGCCCTTTATTAATTCCGGTTTTGATTGAAATCTCGTAACTTTTTAAAACACCTTATATATTTCCAATCTCGAAGGAGTCAAAAATATGTTAATTTAATTTGGATCCTATTTAACTATCTACCTGGAATCCTGCCAAAATAGATGCAGGAGTAATTAAAATCTGGTCTCGCTAATGGAAATGCACTAAGATTCTACCGGATTTGCGCCTAATCACATCCACAACCTGCGTCACCTCATCATAGCACATCTACCCTTACACGTCTCAACGTCTAAAGGAAACTGGTAATTACTTATGAACAACTTATACTGATTGCAGACATCGCCTTAATGCAATATTCACCTACTAAACAAGCTAGATAAAAAATATCTAGGAAGTACGAGAGAATATTATTTACAGCGCTCAGGAAATCTTCTCGACTGATTTATTGATTCGTTAGGAACGCCTTCTAAGTCTTCACTCCTGTGGTGACACAATTTCCATTGTTTATCGACTCACACATAAATGAGAATAGGGCTAAGACTCCTGGGGGCACATTTGGGCATGACTACAATACCAGGACGAAATGAGAGATAGTCATCGTGGACCGATTTTACGGGGAAATCTGCCGCGACAGATCGGAGATGGTCAATTTATAGACCAATAACCGCTGACTGACAAATTAATGACTAAAGTGTCGTTTATCACACTTGTTGCATTATATGCTATTTTGAATTTGATGCAAGATTTCTTTGAGTAATTGTTTCATCAGTTTTTAAAAGTCGCAAAGCAATGTAAGATCTAAAATCAAATCAATCACAAAACAAAAAATATTTCAAGCGTACTTTTCCCAGAAAGCCTATTTTTTAGTTCCTCATATGATGTAAATTCATCGGATATAGGTGTGTGAGTGTACTCAATCTGACCTTTCTTTCATTTGACACTAGAAGCAAGCCTGTCGTTTGCAGAAAGCATACGTCTTCTTTTCAATTCCAGGGTTTCGTCATCTGATGAGTCCCATTCAGGTTCAGGAGTTGAAGAATTATAGGACTGTTGAAGGACAGTTGTATTATTCGGTGTATGTAACTCGAAAGTTCCAACTATATCGGTTGGTTCCCCAAACTCGTGTAGTTATCGTTCATATCTTCTTCGTCAGTCAAGTTATCCACGTCGGGTGGAATATAGACCGCATCAATATGTTCTGTAAATATCTTTTTACGTTATTTCTAGCATTAATTTACAAGTAATGGAATGCTGCAATACATAAGAATACGTAAATCTAAATAATACTTACGACTTTTATTGTTATAGTCCTCCTCCATAGCCGCTCTAATTCCTTTTAAGTCAAATTCCTCGGAAATACCATATTTTACGAACTGTAACGTTCACTGCACAAGGCACAAACTAATACTAAAGAACACGCTAATTGTTGGATGTTTATTCACATGCGCTGGCTTGTCTATACTTGCAATAACAAAGTTTCGTTTCGCACATAAAACCAGTAGAGCATTCACGCACCAGTAAATATTTTCAAAAAATAAAGCATAATCAGTATAGTATTTCGCATGTACGTTTTCTGCGATGCCATAGACTTAACAAAAATGGCAATACATATCCAAAATATTTTTTTTTTTTGCTATTTTTGATTTACTTGAAAATGTGATACAAACTTTTGAAGTCATATATTCATTAGCGATTTCTGCGGTTTTATGTCCTTTAGTAGTGATAATAATAAAATTTCTAAATGGATGTGCAAAAATATTTCCTGGATGTGACAAAAAAAATCATAGAATAGGTGGTGCGTTAACGTGCCACTGGGACAAAATGGGTTAAGAAATCTATTACTACCTGATTATATACTCGTACATAGATATCGGAATATTGTCATATTTTGTATTTGATACAGCCACGGTGTTGCCAAAACAGCTGTCATAAACCAATAAATAACTGTGAAGATCCGAGCCTTGTTTGTTTTAATTCAATTGTGTTAAATGGATTTTCATCAAGTAAAAGCCACCCCAATTCAATAATTTATTTGCTTTCTGCATTATATTTTGCATTCCGAAGTGTTCCTGGACACCCTGTACAGGAATTGAAAGACTAAACAACCAAACAGAATTCCGTACGCAATGTAGTTGAATAAATTAATTGGCCATTTTAGGGTTACAAACAGGGTGAGAAAGAACAGGCTGTTAAATTAATTCAAACACGAAAATCGATACACAAAATACGCGACTTGGCGCTTAATACGTTAATTTCTATTCGCAACTTACATATCCAATTAAAAGAGATGAACCCATTAGGAATACAATGTAATCGACAAGAAAACGGCAGTGACCGTTTCTTTAATTGCTTTAGTTCTGTGAAGACGTTCCTACTAGAAGTTTAAGAGAAGTCATCTGGGTGTATAGCGACAACGGGATGAGAAAATAAATGAACG